CTTATACAACTATAACTAGATAATATTGACATGTTATGAGATAAATAAAGTTCATTTAATAAGAAATGTAGGAAATGGGCAAAGTAAAGTCATATAGGCCATTTTCGGGCCATTTTTAGTAAAAAGCGTCATAAACCTTAATAAAATGCTCTCCTATACAATTTCAGGGCTTACTCACATACAACTACCCAAAATTGACATGTTATGAGAAAGAAATAGTTCATTTGATAAGTAATATAGGAAATGGGCTACATAGAAGTCATATAGGCCCTATTTGGGCCATGTTGAGTAAAATATGTTGTTAAACTTATTGAAATGCTATATTGATGTGTGATTTCTAGACTTAGAAACCTAATATTACCCAAAAATGACATGTTATGAGAAACAAAAAGGCCATTTCACAAGAAAGGTAGAAAATGGGCTGAATAGAAGTCATATGGGCCATATTTAGGTCATTTTGTGTTAATATGCTCTTTTGATGTGATTTATTTCCTTGTACACCTATAACTAGATGATATTGACATGTTATGAGATAAATAAAGTTCATTTAATAAGAAATTTAGGAAATGGGCAAAGTAAAGTCATATAGGCCATTTTCGGGCCATTTTTAGTAAAAAGCGTCATAAACCTTAATAAAATGCTCTCCTATACAATTTTAGGGCTTACTCACATACAACTACCCAAAATTGACATGTTATGAGAAAGAAACAGTTCATTTGATAAGTAATATAGGAAATGGGCTACATAGAAGTCATATAGGCCCTATTTGGGCCATGTTGAGTAAAATGCGTTGTTAAACTTATTGAAATGCTATAGTGATGTGATTTCTAGCCTTAGACACCTAATATTACCCAACAATGATATGTTATGAGAAACAAAAAGGCCATTTCACAATAAAGGTAGAAAATGGGCTGAATAGAATTCATATGAGCCATATTTGGGCCATTTTGTGTTAATATGGTCTTTTGATGTGATTTCTTTCCTTATACACCTATAACTAGATAATATTGACATGTTATGAGATAAATAAAGTTCATTTAATAAGAAATGTAGGAAATGGGCAAAGTAAAGTCATATAGGCCATATTCGGGCCATTTTGAGTAAAAAGCGTCATAAACGTTAATAAAATGCTCTCCTATACATTTTAGGGCTTACACACATACAACTACCCAACATTGACATGTTATGAGAAAGAAATAGTTCATTTGATAAGTAATGTAGGAAATGGGCTACATAGAAGTCATATAGGCCTTATTTGGGCCATGTTGAGTAAAATGTATTGTTAAACTTATTGAAATGCTATATTGATGTGTGATTTCTAGCCTTAGAAACCTAATATTACCCAAAAATGACATGTTATGAGAAACAAAAAGGCCATTTCACAAGAAAGGTAGAAAATGGGCTGAATAGAAGTCATATGGGCCATATTTAGGTCATTTTGTGTTAATATGCTCTTTTGATGTGATTTATTTCCTTGTACACCTATAACTAGATGATATTGACATGTTATGAGATAAATAAAGTTCATTTAATAAGAAATGTAGGAAATGGGCAAAGTAAAGTCATATAGGCCATATTCGGGCCATTTTGAGTAAAAAGCGTCATAAACGTTAATAAAATGCTCTCCTATACATTTTAGGGCTTACACACATACAACTACCCAACATTGACATGTTATGAGAAAGAAATAGTTCATTTGATAAGTAATGTAGGAAATGGGCTACATAGAAGTCATATAGGCCTTATTTGGGCCATGTTGAGTAAAATGTATTGTTAAACTTATTGAAATGCTATATTGATGTGTGATTTCTAGCCTTAGAAACCTAATATTACCCAAAAATGACATGTTATGATAAACAAAAAGGCCATTTCACAAGAAAGGTAGAAAATGGGCTGAATAGAAGTCATATGGGCCATATTTAGGTCATTTTGTGTTAATATGCTCTTTTGATGTGATTTATTTCCTTGTACACCTATAACTAGATGATATTGACATGTTATGAGATAAATAAAGTTCATTTAATAAGAAATGTAGGAAATGGGCAAAGTAAAGTCATATAGGCCATATTCGGGCCATTTTGAGTAAAAAGCGTCATAAACGTTAATAAAATGCTCTCCTATACATTTTAGGGCTTACACACATACAACTACCCAACATTGACATGTTATGAGAAAGAAATAGTTCATTTGATAAGTAATGTAGGAAATGGGCTACATAGAAGTCATATAGGCCTTATTTGGGCCATGTTGAGTAAAATGTATTGTTAAACTTATTGAAATGCTATATTGATGTTTGATTTCTAGCCTTAGAAACCTAATATTACCCAAAAATGACATGTTATGAGAAACAAAAAGGCCATTTCACAAGAAAGGTAGAAAATGGGCTGAATAGAAGTCATATGGGCCATATTTAGGTCATTTTGTGTTAATATGCTCTTTTGATGTGATTTATTTCCTTGTACACCTATAACTAGATGATATTGACATGTTATGAGATAAATAAAGTTCATTTAATAAGAAATGTAGGAAATGGGCAAAGTAAAGTCATATAGGCCATATTCGGGCCATTTTGAGTAAAAAGCGTCATAAACGTTAATAAAATGCTCTCCTATACATTTTAGGGCTTACACACATACAACTACCCAACATTGACATGTTATGAGAAAGAAATAGTTCATTTGATAAGTAATGTAGGAAATGGGCTACATAGAAGTCATATAGGCCTTATTTGGGCCATGTTGAGTAAAATGTATTGTTAAACTTATTGAAATGCTATATTGATGTTTGATTTCTAGCCTTAGAAACCTAATATTACCCAAAAATGACATGTTATGAGAAACAAAAAGGCCATTTCACAAGAAAGGTAGAAAATGGGCTGAATAGAAGTCATATGGGCCATATTTAGGTCATTTTGTGTTAATATGCTCTTTTGATGTGATTTATTTCCTTGTACACCTATAACTAGATTATATTGACATGTTATGAGATAAATAAAGTTCATTTAATAAGAAATGTAGGAAATGGGCAAAGTAAAGTCATATAGGCCATATTCGGGCCATTTTGAGTAAAAAGCGTCATAAACGTTAATAAAATGCTCTCCTATACATTTTAGGGCTTACACACATACAACTACCCAACATTGACATGTTATGAGAAAGAAATAGTTCATTTGATAAGTAATGTAGGAAATGGGCTACATAGAAGTCATATAGGTAATATTTGATAAAATACATATTGTTTTGCCTAATTAATTAATTTTAACATAATGTTTTTGTATTTCAAGTTTTGCAAGGTCCAAAAGGATGGTCTGTTGACATTTAAGGAGCTTAATGAAGTTCGTGACATGTTAGCGTCTTTTATCACCTTCAACATGTAAACGGCATTGTAATTGTAAATTATTTATAATAACTTTTGAACTATATAACTTATTATTCATTATATATTTACTTACTATTATTTGTATATGTAAGCAACTTTTTTTTTGTATTGCGTTTGGGAATATTTATATCTATATATATAATTGAATTCTTGTTTTTAATATTATTTTTGTATCTTATTGTAATAATTAATAATATTATTATTATTAGTTATTATAATAATAATATTATTAATTATTATATTTAATATAATTGCTGAAATTACAGGTTATTATTATTGCTGGAAATAGGCTTTTTTTTTAAAATATTATTGCACGAAAATTGGAAAAAAAAACAAAAAAAAAATTATTTGGTGAATAGGCACCGGTTAGGCACCAACCGGTGCCTAAAATAGTTACCACCCAAAAAAAATTGGCGGGAGGGCAGTAAAAGGCACCGGTTAACCGGTGCCTAATTGGGCATATGGCACCGGTTTTGAACCGGTGCTAAAAAGTGGGTTTTTGGCACCCCCACATAGGCAGCGGTTCAAACCGGTGCCTTAGACCGGGTTTGAACCACTGCCAAAGCACTATTTTCACCTAGTGCAAGAAAGGGATTGAGGGGGAAAGGAAATGATACCCTTTGATGTAGTATGTTGTTTGGTCACATAAGTAATAAGTTGTCTTCCACCACTTCTGAAAAAAACTTCCAGTCTTCTCCCTCATATTAATGGAGCACCATCCACACCTCCAGCCTTGATCCCTTCCCGGCCCAATTCTCACTGCCACTTGTTCACACTGCCACCTTCACATCACTGCCCCTCTAAGGCCCCATAACCGACATTTTCTCTCTCATCTTATTCTAGTACCTCCACCATGAAATATATATACTTGTAAAATTAAAGGTTTTGAAGGTCAAATTCACCCTTAAAAACTCTAGATCTGAAGTTTTTATGGGTGTATTTGACCATCTAAAGCCATATTTGATGATATAACAAGGTAATTTTTTCACTTATAATTTTTTTTTAATTTTAAAATTAGTAGTAATTGGGAGGTTGTATGTGGTTTTTCTGGTGGTGGTGGGGCTTCGGGGTGGTTGTGGTGATTTTGATTAATGGTTGTGGTTGTATCATGGTAGTTTCAAAGTGGTTTTGTAGAGCGTTGGAATTGTAGGGGCGTTCGAAGGTGGGGTCGTCGGTAATAGTGACTACGGTGTGGTCGTCGGCGATGGTGACGGCTACGGTGGGGTCGTCGGTGGGGACGGTTGTGGTAGTGGGAGGTTTCCGGTAGACCAAGTCAGGTGGTGGTGTATGTTTTAATGGTGGTCAAAGTTGGTTATGGTTGTTGGGTGTAGAGGATTTTGGGGTAATGGATGATTCCCTTGGGGGAGCTGGGGAATCATGATGGAAGGAAATTGGGTAATCAGAGGGGAAAGGGAATGATTAAATCAGACAAACAAACAACATTAAAGGGAACCATAGCTGTTGATTCCCATTCAGTTTCTTGAAACCCCTCAACCAAACGCCCCCTTAGTGTATTATCTTTATAGATTAACATGAGAGCCTATTATGTACACCCAAGTGTACCGTACATTCGGTTTCATTTGCTCATTCAATAAACAAATACGTAAAAATATTATTTGCTCGATTGTTGATTAAATGAGCAAATGACCCCATGTATATTGTACACCTGGGTATATTTAACATATTAAGGGTCAAAGTTTACAAAATTTGATCTAAAAAATGGTAATGGAGCAAAAATAAAGAGACGGAGGGAGTATAAAAAGAGTATTTCGTATGTGTATTCAGATTAGTAATGCCTACCAAAATACAGCTCAAAAAAAAAAAAAAAAAAATAATTTAAAGGCGCTGTCGTCCTCGTGGCGGGGCTGGACATTTTCTGTAAAAAATAGCAATAATTCTCTCTCCTGACTCTTCCCTTTCACTTTCTGTAATCTTAAACCCTTCTCAGTCTCAAGATTCTCTTCTTTCATCGCCTGAAATTTTCTTCATTTATTAATTCTTCATTTCCTTTTCATCTCCGCTATTCTTTGATTCTCTTGTAAGTTTTCATCATTTTATCAAGTTTAGTTATCGGATTAATTCATCATTTGTATTTGTATTTTAGTTTACGGATTTGATATATGCAGTCTTAAGGGCTAACTATAAATACTCCGTATTATATATTCGTTCGGAGTACATGTATATATATACACACGGAGTATTTAGTATAAATTTTAATTAGAAATGAATGATAAAATCACGCATTTGATCGGTGTAATTAAGTTGAATTATTTCTTAATGTTTCTATGTTAAGCTTCTGTATTTCATAATTTGTTAGGAGATGGAATAAAGTGATTTTATTAACTTTGCTTGTAATTTCGGCAATGGGTATATTGAGAGGAGTGTGGTATATTGAATGATTGAAATGTAAGCAGTAAGTATACTTTGGTTGATGTTGTTTTTGGATTTTTTAGGGGTTAATGGAAGTGGGTATTTGGGTGATCAAGTGGAATTTAATGTTCTAATATAAGTATGTGTTTTGTTAATTATATGAAGCTAATGTAAGTACTTCCTCCGTTTTCTTATAATCGCAATATTTTTCTTTTTTCGGAAATTGTAAAATGATTGTAGCATTGCTTTAATTGGTTGATGAATTCCCTTTTTTTTTTTGGCATTCCCACATCGTTGCAATTAATTGAAAACGGAGGAAGTAATATTTTGTGTGTTTGAAAATGACTTTTGGATTGGCGAGGTATTGTTGGACATCATATTAAGTATATTTTATCTTTCCAGTGTACCTGGTATAGGCGTATGTTTCTAAGTGCTCTTGAGGCTGCACAGACTGTTGATAGGTAAATCACTTCGCTATTATAGCTATCTTTCATTAATTGGTGTCGTGCCTCTAAATTTCTATGTGTTCTTTTGATCTTGTTAAGAATAATTGATTTTTTATTTTGTTGATAGCAATGTATGCAGTGCACGTTTGTTGACGAGTAACGCTTCTCACATATCATTGTCTGTTGTTATCATATGCATGTAGTTGTTAGTTACAAGTAATAGATTTAGGTTGGGTGAGCTGGATTAAGTTACGAACGTAAAACCCGCTTTGTTGTTTGTATTTTCCATCTGAAATTATCAGTCTATCATTAATCATGCTTTTTTGTTTGGCTTTATGAATGGTTTTGTTAGTCTGACTTCTGACATTCCCTTGTTACATAAGAAATTTGCATGAAATTGAATTAGATGGAAAACAAAGCTACATGTTTTATCTAATGACTCAAAATTCACCATGTCCAAGTCTATGTGATCCAGTAACATGACTCATGTCTGGAGTTTGGTCCATTTATTGGAATTGCATGAGGTTGTTTTGTTTTGTTTTTTATTTCGAAGCTGAAATGTTCAGTTAACTTGTGCTACCAAGGATTGATTTACATGCTTATCTCATACGAAGTATTATGAAGTGTCACTCTGTAACTTTGTTAGATGAAAAAGACTTCTGAAAGTTTTTACCCCATTTGTTGGCAGACTCAAAACATCTTGGAGATGACAATGGCTTCGGAGCTTGTAAATATTGCTACAAGTGACAAACTAACTGAGGTTGATTGGGCCAAAAACATTGAGATCTGTGAAATAGTTGCTCATGATCAGAGGTATATCCTATTAAATTAAACTCTATGTTCTATTTTGGCATACAATCAATTATGAAATCTTTTATTGAGCTATATTGTTACAACTTACAAGTTTGGGGCATTAAGATTATAACTGCTAAGAGACTGTAACAAAAAAAAAAAATACATCTAAGGGTTCCCTTATCGACCATCTGGTACTCAAAGTTTTGATTTGACTTTTAATATCTATTACTTGCAAACACTCTCATCTTCTGCTGGAGCATGTTTCTTTGAAGGTCTGTATATCTATTTATGTAAAAAGGTTGGTAACAATGACAGTACGAGAGTTTGAGGTTATATGCATGTCTACAGGAAGTTGTAGACAGATGTTTTTGTCCATATGCTTCAGCGGTCTATAGATCCTTAGTGTTAATCTTTATATGCTCTGCTCATGTTAACAGAGGTGATGTTTAGCTAGATCAAGGTACTATTGCTGTGGAGCTGTAATTCTGTAAGAGGGAATTGTAGACTTGTATGTTTATTAATTACTGAATCCTGGATCAGGTAGCCAGCATCCGCTATAGAGACTAAACTTTAGCATATAATTGAGAAAGTGTCTCCTTGGTCGATCCCATCTGTTTATGCTGAGGCTTTGTTCTGCTTGCTTTGGCTTTGTTTACAATTAAGATCTCAATCTGAGCTATCCTTCAATTACATTGGGTTTTTTTTTTTGCTTTTTCTTGAACTATACATGATTGGAGATGCTGATTTTTATTTCCCTTATTTTCTGGTTCTTTACGACTTTACAAGCAGAAAGTTGCTCCAAAGCGTATTAATAACATGGTACATGAATTAGCTAATAGTTACGAGATGGTGAAACCATATTAATGTCTTTGTTTTTTTTTTTTTTGGAAAAATTCCGGAATAATTTCACACATGGGGCATCCGCCCAAAATAATCCCACCTTTGGGTTATTTTTATAGGAAATTTTATTCTAATAATTTCACCTTTGGCCGGTTCGCTGTTAATAATCCTACCTTTTGATTATTATCTAATAATCTCACCTTTGGGGGCTATTCTCTTCTAATGGTACCTTATTACGGGTAACCTGTTGTTTGGGTAAGTCTTTATTTATTTATTTTTTTAAATTCCTTGGCCACGCATTAGTGCATCACCCCCCTTCCCCAACCACCAGTCCCCATTCATTTCCAACAACCAGGCACCAACAAAACCAATTAACCCAATTCAGCCCCTCATACCACGCAATCCCTTTGCCCTCGCTGCTCCTTGCTGACTCACCAACAGTTTCGTCACCAGCATCTGCACCTCCTTTTCATCAGCAAGCCAGCACCCGCGCAATTCAACTATCTCGCAATCCCTGCACTAGTGCACTCCAATCCGCCACCAATCAACAGCAATTCAACCTCCAAATCATTGCAGTCAGCAATTTGGCTACCTACAATCATGATTGTGGCCTCCATTTGAGCAATTTAACACCAACAACTTCAATTGATGCTGCAATTTGAAGACCCAAGATGCGCCCTTGTTGGGGCGGGGATTTTCGTGGTGGGGAGGGCTGGGCTGGCGTTTTTCATGGGAATTTCGGGGTGTGGGAAGGCTGAAATGAATCGATTTGGGGTGAGGATATTTTGGGGTGAGGATATTTTGGGGTGGGGTGTTTCGAGGGTGCGGGTGGCTGGGATAGGCTGTTTCAGGGGTGGGCGTAGCTAGGGTTTTGTGTTTCGGGGGTGGGGGTTGTTGGGGTGGGCGTGGCTAGGGTTGTGTTTCGGGGGTGGGGGTTGTTGGGGTGGGTTGTTTTAGGGATGGGCATGGCTGACTTTGGTGTTTCGAGGTCATGGGTGGGGTGGCTGGTTGCAGGGGTAGGGGTGGGCTGCCTAGCCGGGAAAAATGGTGGAAGGAGGGGAAAACGATAAGGAAGGACCGAAGGAGGGAAGGGAAAAAAATTAATTTTTTTACAATATTATATTAAAAGATTTTTTTAAAAAAAATTCGACGAATCACAAAGTCACATGTGGCATGCTAACCCATTATATTGGTTACTAACAAGTCAGGGACCATTAGAAGAGAATGCCTCTTAGAGGTGGGATTATTAGATAATAATCAAAAGATGAGATTAATAGCGGCAAACCGGACAAAGTTAGGATTATTAGAATCAAATTTTCATATTTTTAAATAATCCGACCGTTATACTCAATCCGCTCATAATGGTCCGAGTAACCAGTAACCGGTTGGAGAGGTAATTTTTTTTTATTAAGTTTAATTTGCACGTGTCACAACTTGATTTGTCCAAAATTAAATAAAAAATTAATAAAAAAATAATAAAATTAAATAAAAAGAAGAAACCACCACCACCTAAGCCACACCACTTCAGCCACCACCATCCAAACCCAGATCCCTGAACCCCCACCCCACCTAGAGCCGAAACGCCCCCACCCTGAAACTGACCTATGGATCGGGATCCTACCCCAACCCCAAAACCCCCTTCGAAAAGTCGAAACCCCACCAAACCAGACCTCAAGAAGATCGGCGCGGCCAAAAAAGGGACAAGGGATGGGGAAGGGGTTGGATCGGGACGGGAAAGGGGTTTTCGAGGGTGGGGATGGTTTTATAGCTTGCCGGGGCTTTGCGAAACAGTGCATGGGTCCTCGTGAGGGAAGGGGTTGATAGTTCAGGGGAGGGGGGTCCGGGCCGTCCGGCGCTTTCTCTGGCGATAACGCCGGTGCCGTGGTTAGGGATGGGTAGCCGGAGCCGCAGGGCATAGGATCGGACTTAGGTAGCAGGGACGGCAGCTGATGGGTGGTTTCTATTTTTTTTTTTTTAAATAAGTTAATCTTTTTTGAAATTTTATTTTATTTTTTGCATGTGTGTGGTAACTTGTTATGTTACATGACTGCTTTGGACCATTTTGAGCGGATTAGGTGTAAAGGTTGGATTATATAAAAATAACCCAAAGGTAGGATTATTTTTAGCGGAAGCCCCAAAGGTGGGATTATTCCGGACATTTTTTTTTTTTTTGAGGGGGGGGGGGAGGAGACTAATAGTTATGAAATAATGAGACCACAATAATTTTTTTTTTTTTTTTTTTTTTTTTTTGGGAGGTGGGGGTGGGGAAAGGTAAGTGAGTCATTGGCCTATGACTTGATAGCCTAGATAACAATTAATGTCTTTCTCAGCGTTGGAAGACAATTTTTATCTTAAAGTGAAGATTTATTTCCTTTAAATTCAAGATGGAAACATTCTTACCATCATCAGAGGGGTCATGTATCCGTTTTCTGATTTTGTAAACTCTTTTGTCTTGATAAGAAGGTCCGGGTTGAGGGTGTAAATGGAAAAAAAAATGATAGTATTTTCATTCTAAGTTCTTCATTTTGTCATCATCTGAATGTTTAGACCGGATTTTGGTGTTTCTCTTGGTGACCATTGGGTATGTATTGAGTTGTACTCTGTGTTAATATGTAGGATATTAGCTTTTAGCGGTAGTAGGTGATGTTAGAAGCCAGTTGCTAAGTTACGTAACATCTCTATTTAATAATCAATTATTTATTTATTTGTATTCTTGTGTGGTTTTAATATAGTCTTTTCACGAGGAAACTGTCTATGATGAGGTGGGATTAAATTTTGCAAGCATATGGCTGATAATCTGTAGTTTAGGCTGGACTTACTAATTACCTGCACAATTTGTGCCTAGTATCCTTTTGCTTAATGAAAGCAATTATGCTGGCTGAATATAATGTACCTGTTTTTTTACAAAATTTTGAGGTCTTTAATGCACCTCTCTTCTGTGGTGATTTCTTTTCTTCATCAGCTAAAAGTTTTGTTATGTCTTGGCAATTGTTCTGTATAGGCAAGCAAAGGATGTGATGAAAGCGATCAAAAAGCGCTTGGGTAGTAAGAGTTCAAATGCTCAGCTGTATGCTGTTATGGTAGGTAGAGCTAAACAGTTCTTTCAGGATTCATTGCATTTCCTTACATATTTGGACACTTTATTGTTGGTCTTTTTTGTGTGTGTGTCATGTAAGAATAATGATGCAGCCCTTTAATTGTTGTTATGAAAAGAGAACATCTTTAAAAATGGTTTGGTCATTGGTTTGTTTTTGGAACTTTCCAGCTGTTAGAGATGTTGATGAACAATATTGGTGAGGCTGTTCATAAGCTGGTGATAGAAGCAGGTCTTCTCCCTATTTTAGTTAAAATCGTGAAGAAAAAGGTATTTACTGCTTTTTGTATAATTTTCTCACCCAGAAAAGCTGATGGAAAGCAACAATTTTGATAGTCTGTTTGTGAATGATCTCACTTTCTTGTCTCCTGTTACAGTCTGATTTACCAGTGCGAGAAAGAATATTCCTTCTTCTGGATGCAACACAAACATCAGTTGGTGGAGCAACTGGAAAGTTTCCTCAGTACTACAATGCTTACTATGAGTTGGTGGTAGGTATACATGCATGCATTTCTAGCTTATAACCTGCAGTGGCGGATCCAGGATTTTTGAAATACTGAGTCACCGTCAATAATTGATTACTTGTTTCAATCCAATAATTATATATATATATATATATATATATATATATATATATATATATTTCACCAAAATAATTTCAATCCAAAAATAGGACATAAAAATCCATACTACAATAGTACTTAGAAATTCAATCTTACAAGTCGAAAGTACGTAATCCAAATAAATAACATGTTACAAACAATGGTACTATAAAATTATTACATTAAATTAACTTTATGATTTTTTTACTTAATTGATAAGCATTGTGGGAAAATATTAAAATTGGTTGCATAGATATAGTATAAAAAGAAACAAGAATTATTAAAAAATTATACGGAGTACCAAAAAAAAAATAGTGAATAACTTAAGAGACCTGTTATTTAATATAACTGGTCTCTTTAATGAAAAAAAAGAACGCAGCAAATATTTCAATGTCAGCAGAAAAGAGATCTGTTATTTTTTGATATTTAAATAAAAAATCTGACACAAAGCTAACTCAGGTGGGTGGCAGCAATAGCAACTGAAAAGAGACCGCCTATTACCTATATATAATAGGTGGTCTCTTTGATATTTTTTTTTTGCTGGTGTGACTCACCATGCACATGAGTAGATCCGCCCCTGGTAACCTGTCAAGTCTTATATTATTCAAAGCAATTATAAGAGTTGAACTGAGCTGTATGGCTTTTTGCTTGTATATGGTGGTTCTTTTTCTTTTTCCTTTTTTTATCCCTCAGGTTTCTAAGCCCTAAGAGAAATGGTTGTGAAACATGTCAATTAATATGTATTAATGTGCGAGGTGTGTGAACTTTTAAGTTTTTGAAGTATTGCTTTAGATTACCTACTGCTTTTTGCAATAATATTGAATCAGTTTCAAGCCCCTCTCATATCATACTCCCCCCTTGTCCTCGGAGGATTTTTTAAGATTATTTTAGATGCTTTGTTCACAACAATTGGGAAGATAGAAAACTTAAGCGATGCTTCAAGGTTAATTCGTTTCTTGCTATAAAGTAATTAAGTAATCACATCTCCTAGTCATTTCAATGTATAAAAAGACTGGAGGCGCACCAAGGCGTTTTAGAGTTCCTTGCGCCTAAGGCGTGCCTGATTGAAGTGAGGCGCATATAATAAACAATAAAAAAATTCTGAAAAAAAATCTATGTGGTTTGGTGCGTCTTACGCTGCGCCTCATTGAAATCGCCTTGCCTAGACTACAAAAGGTGCATGACCCCTTGTGCCTTGTGGTTTGGACTTTGGAGTTGGACTAAGGTGTTGCATGTATTAGATTCAATCAGTCTAATTGTTTTTGAACCCATAAGTTAGTTTATTAATGCCACAGTTAGAATTGTCTAATTGAAGTATGAATTATTGTATTAGATAGTGCTGTACCAAGTTTGAAATCCTGGCCAGCCACTGATTGTAGCCTTATGTCACACATCATGTCCTTTTCTTTTCTTGTGGCTTCTCTGTGTATAATTCTTTCTTTTCTATTAACTCATGTAGGTTCTTTTTTTTTTCTATTAACTCATGTAGATTCTTTATTATACTCAATCCTTAATAGATTATAGCCCTACTTTTGTCACTTGGCATGAATCATAGTGAAGTCTTTATGTGGAGGTTGAGAGAATTTAATGTGAAGTTAATAATTTCCCAAGTTTTGGGATACATCAGCATGTATTTGGGTAAAAACTAACTTGAGTTGGAACAGTAGGACAAAGTTGGCATATTTGAGATGGGGAGGGGGAAGAGGAATGGAGAGGGTTAAATTTCCAAGAAATTTTTGCGAGAAAGTTTAAGGTTATAATTGTTGAAGATGCTTTTCATTGTCCTCTTGTCATATTTAGATGAAAGTTTATGTGTCACAAGTCACAACCGAGTGTTTTGGCATCAGATTGTGCGGCGCACTCTGGCCTTTTAGTGACAAGGACACAAGCGTTGTACGGAAATGGATTATGAGCACACAGCAACACAAGCAAGCGTTTGGATCTCAAGGGCGCTTATGGCTATTTGGTGACGATGTGCGGGTGATCTGGGCTTGTGACGGGCGTACAAGTCAAAGCGGGCACCAGCGGGTCCGATCATGAGCTTCTAATAGAGTCTAGTGAGTAGATGGGGGTTGTTATGCTAGCAAGACACAGTATTTATAAAGGTCTAACAATAACACATGCATAAAAGCAAAGCAACACCGGGTAGAAGGCCTTTGGATTTCATTAATCTCTTGCCCTTTAAAGAGCTTAAATTTTCATTTACAAGATTCTCGATTGACAATACGCAATAATTGCGTCTAAGGCCTAGAAACCTTAAACTAAAAGCCTAGAAAACTTGAACTAAAAGCCTAGAAAAGCATTAGAAAGTTATCTAAGACACATAAAGGAGGTTGAATTTTAACACTATGTTACTTGGACACTGTTACGAGTGTATGACTATTGGGGGCTATCCAAGTATCCTTCCATGTCAAGTTTGAAAAATTCAGACGTGGGGACACTATCCTAAAATTGGACACGGGTGTAGGGACATGGCATTAGTGGGATATATTAATGTTTCAGAAGACTTTTTGCACATTTTAGGCCGACTTGAATGTTCATTATTGTTGAAATGTTTATCAGAAACTTTGTGAGCTACATATCACACGTATTCTTCTTTTCCTTATAGCATTATCTTCTTCGATTATGTGGTCCAAGATAATGAAATTTCTGGTAAAAAATGCATCCTTTTTGGAGGGTTGACAGCCTAACACAGATGGAGAAGAAAACAAAAAAAGAGTTAAAGGAACCTAGATGAAAGTGAACATGAAATTACTAAGGAGCAAAAGCATCATTTCATGTTCTAAGAGTTAAGATGGGAGTAGCTTGAAGAGGTACTGGGGTGATATATTAACATGTGGAAGTCCTTTGAGCTTGAATTTTATTCTAATTAGGTTATCAAATGTTGTTCACCGCACTTCAGGGAAGAAATTGTGAGAAATATGCTTTCCTCTAAAAAAAAAAAAAAAAAAAAAAAAAAAAAAAAAAAAAAAAAAAAAAAAAAAAAAAAGGAAAGAATTGTAGAGTTGGTGACTGAACCTTCACATCTTGAAATTGTTTACGTATTAGTAGGTACTTTTATATGTTTTCTTTTGTTAATCCAAAAAAGATGGAAAGGAATTGTAGAGTTAGTGACTGAACTTTCACATCTTGAAATTGTTTGTGTAATAGTCGGTATTTTTGTACGTTTTCTTTTGTTGCCTTTTCTGGATTATGGTTTATTGTATTGTATTTGGGTAGTCTAATAACGGTTTCTAAATTTAAATTGAGCTTATCAGTTCTGTTTATTCAGAGTGCAGGAGTAAAGTTTCCTGGAAGGCCTAATGCAGTCTCATCTAACCATAACTCCTCTGGTGCAAGCCAAAGTAATTTAACTGTTGGAAGCATTGCCGCGTCAGCCAGTGAAAGGGCCCCAAAAAGGGAAGAACGTCAAGAACCCCAGCCTGCACCTGGGTCCAGGTAGATTGATTTACTAATCACTTTCTTCATAATTATGCTTGACATTCTTTTGGTTTTCCTGATATAGTTGTCAAATATCTAATAATAATCTAAGTCATGAATATGTCAGTGTTCCAAATAGTAACTTTGCCATGGTGAATTGTTAGTATACTATGAAGCTTATTGCTTTCTAAATTTGTGCCCATGCAGTATAATTGAAAAGGCTAATGCTGCATTGGAAGTTCTAAGAGAAGTTCTGGATGCAGTCAATGCTCAAAACCCTGAGGTATTTTTGAACTCATTTTTCGGTGGATGCTACATTTCCATGCAAATTCTTCAGTTAGCTTTATGTGCATTTTGAATACTATCATTCAAGCAAAATTTTATTTCTCTCTGTCAAGTTTGACCAAGCCTAAGCCAAATTGGGCCTCAATATGAACATTTTGAGGTTCAACTCACGTGGCTTTGCATATATTAATATTTATTTTCTTTTTTTTTTCCCCCTTATTTTGTTACTATGATTTTATTTTTCGTATCTGTAAATTATTGAAAATGTTGGTAAAAAATATCTTAGAGGATGCTAACAAAAAGAAATTAATAAGTTGAGGAGAAAAAAAATAGGAATCAAGCTGATCTGAGTGTAGCTTTAATCAACTTGCCAAGCGTAGCTCAACCTCAAGGCTATCTGAGCTCTGCGCTGAGCCAAACTCATACAAGCAGAGCCAGAATCTGGCAATTTGGGATTTGAAGGATATGGGAATCTTGTGTTTTTTCCTACTAGTACAACAGTCTCCAATAATATTGTATAATTAGGCACCAGGATAACCGTTGAAGTTAGTGTCTCGAAGTTAGCTGTATGATCCTTTTTACCCTGTTTAATTTTGTATAGAGCAATGTTATAGACTGTAAAAGCTCTGCTTGCTGCCTGTCACCTTTATTTTCTCTTCCCTCAATTTTTTATTTTTATTTTTATTAATTTATTTATTTTATTTTTTGGGTAATTTCTTTAAATTACTTCCATTGAAATTGAAATGTATTTGTAAAGATACTTGTATATCTTGAATCTTTTTTTTAATTTATCACCTAAGTTGCACTGAAAGGGCTGGGCTGCTGAGTGTTATCTTTCTGCAGTTCTTGAAATCAATCTCTTATGAAATATTCCTCACGTGTATTAGATTAACATGTTTTTGGTTGCGTAGTGTTTTTCTTATCCATTTCTAGTTTTCATGCTATAATCAAAACAAGTGAAACATCTTCAGTATCTAAGCCTCTAAGACAAGACCTTTAAATACTTGTGCTAAAGAAGCAGAGTGTAAATTGCTGGTAGTATACTAGTTGACTTCAATTTTTTTTTTTTAACAATTAGTGAAGCTCTAGTCAAAACCCGAATGAAGCTTGTCATGATTTGGCTAACCTTGATTGAGATGTACTTTTGACTTTTACCAGGTACACTAGGTGTGACATGAATTGAGAGCGTATCATGTAGCTAATACTGAAACATTTTGAAAATTTTATGTTGGCTGATGGATATGGCTGCAAAGGTTTGTGGTTATGTATTGTGGAGGTAATCCTAAGGGAGGTGGGCATGGGGTTTGGATGGAGGGGACTAGTAGAACTACCAGCCTACCACTTAAGATATCAAAAGAACTTAAGATCTTAAGATAGTTCTCTTGAAAAAGATTATCACTAACTTGTTAAGTAATTAAGCTTACCACATCAGTTACTCTTAAAAAAGGTAAATAAAAGGGGGAGAAAGAGAGAGAGATTGCTCACAGGGACGAGTGCTGACTGCTCTTGTTTTGGTGGATCTGACCTATTTTAGATCTGACTCACGAGTTTACTTTCGCTCCTAAGGGTCAGACCTGGATTTCATAACTACACCCGGGTCTCGTCGTGTCAACAGTAGGATAATGGCCCAAGTCTGAGCATTAAAGCACTTAACAATATTGGGAAAGTCTAGGCAAACTTCCTTACCTTGCAAAAGTTTTCCATGGATATCAAGCACTGCATGCTGCACTATGTCATCTGAGTTCCTTAATCAACTCGTATAATGGTATGGAATACTTTTCAGGATCATTATATGTCAGTTAGACACTCTAATTGTCTTGAAGGTGTGAACAACCTCTTGGTAAAGAATGAATTAAAGAGACAGGGAAAGAAGAGAAAATTATGTGAGATATATACTCACAAATGGGTTTGAGATCATAAAGTTAGTATGATTTAGCAAACAATACAATCTGAAATTTGGTATGTATTTGTAACATGATAAAGACGTGCAGAACTCCATTTAGAATCAAGAATATGTATATGCTATGCTCCTGCACCTGTGTCTAATTTATGGAAATTTTTATCAATCACCAATGTCCAAAATATGAGTCTTGACACACCTAACACATGGATATACACGCATTTCTGACACATTTACAGTAGTCATAATGTGTCTGAGTAACATAGATGACATGCAAACTAGGTTTTGGAGCTGCTAAATGTTGCCTGTGGTGGCAAAATTAGTCATGAATCAGTTGTCACTAAGTTAAGTGTTGAGACGTTCAGAACTCCATTTAAAATCAAGAATATGTATATGCTATGCTCCTACACCTGTGTCTAATTTATGGAAATTTTTATCAATCACCAATGTCCAAAATATGAGTCTTGACACACCTAACACATGGATATACACGCATTTCTGACACATTTACAGTAGTCATAACGTGTCTGAGTAACATAGATGACATGCAAACTAGGTTTTGAAGCTGTTAAATGTTGCCTGTGGTGGCAAAATTAGTCATGAATCAATTGTCACTAAGTTAAGTGTTGACATGTTTGAGCATTGTTCTTTTGGCTGTTCCTGTCTGATCCTTCAACTCTGAGCTGTACCCTTGTTCTATAAAATGTTACTCTTACTTTTTATTTTGTTCATGCTCCTGTATCACTGGCCTAGACTAAACAGGTTCTTACAAAATGTTGTATCTGTTTAGTTTGTAAGACATATTTGCATGTTCTTGTACATTTTAATCTTATGAAGAAGGTAAAAGAGACGAGTTTCTGTGTTCTTTGTGTTTATATTTTAGGCTATCATCTGTTCCAATCTACTTTTTGTGTTGGTCTCTTTGTCGTGAACTAGATAAGTTTTCTCCTGTTATTATCTGGAACTTTGATTGTACCATATATCCTCAAAGTTTGAACAAGCTAGGTGAATTAATTATTTAATGTCTACATGTTTTGGCATGCTTCTTATGTCATTCATGACTTCATCACCTGGGTTTGACTGTATATAGTGCAGAGTTATAGGGGTAAGGTAGTAAGAGATATTAACTATAAATGGAATTAATGCTACTTAAACCTAGTTTGACTGTAGCTCTCCCTGTGTTTCTCTTTTAGGCAGCAAAGGATGAGTTCACTCTTGATCTTGTGGAGCAGTGTTCATTTCAAAAAGACAGAGTAATGCACCTTGTGATGACATCCAGGTATATATTTTAAAGTAGTGTTTCTGGTTTCCAGTTTTTTAATTTTGGTTTTGTTGCTGTATATGCTCATTACTATAATACTATGTCATCCTCTCATCAAAACAAAATCAATTATAAGTGGGATTACTGGAAGACTTTAGACTCCATCTTTTGTTTTCCGTATGCATTCCAATTTTAATATTATATTCACAATTGATCTACTACCTTGAATGTTTTACTAGTCTAAATTGTAGAAAGTGAGCGGGTTTAGGAAAATGGTGGTTAAGGTATGAGAGATGGAGCAAAAGGTGGATGAGTGTAAGAAATAAGTAGAGTAAGGGAGTGAGTGGAAAGGTGTAAATACTGTAAATAGTGTGAGTTGAACGTTTTGAAATATCTGAAAGCAAAAGTGAGTCAAACTCTTGGGAAATGGAGGGAGTATATATCTTTTATTGCTCTCAAAATTATATGTACAATTTTGTGGACAATGATGTTTCGTTACAAGATGGCACACCGCACACCTTCACTGCTAATTTGTTAGGTTGTTCACACTAAGTTGGTGCCCTGTGCTGCTCTTGAACCTGTCAGTCTGTTATAAAAAAGGGTATTATACCATATAACTATGTGGTTTAGGTATTTTTGGTAGATAACCCTCACGTTGGAATCCATCATGTGGTGAACCCGAACTTGTAAACTGCCAATAATTAGATGTAGAAATCAGAGAGCCTATTATGTACACCCTGGGTCATTTGCTCATTTAATCAACAAATGAGTAAAAATTATCTTCTCATTTGTTGATTGAATGAGCAAATGACCCTAGGTGTACGTAATGCCTGGGCGTATATAACAAATTCTAAGAAATCATGGGAAATTCTCATTGGTAGCTTTAAGTTTTTGCTTTTTATATTTGGTAGCAATAAAATAATTCAACTTACACTTTGATTGACCAATAGTAGTCTTCTTCAGGTCTACTTTTCCAAAAGAGGGTAAAAGAAGAATAGTGTTGCATTCCCTATGTTCCAAAATGAATTTCGTGTTCATTTTCAATTTGAAATTATAGGTGGAAATTATTTATATATTAATTTCTAAATACTTATAATTTTAATAGTATGTTTAAAAGAGCAGAATTTTTTTTCAGATCATCCAAAATTTAAGTGCAGAATTTATTTTGGGAAGGAGGGTAAAGAGTCTAAAGACAAATTTTGGACTATGAATAAACTGTTATAATTGGGGTATTGCTATATGCTATTACATCGAAGATCATATCATGAGTTTAACTATGTCCATCTTTTTATAAACAGAGATGAGAAATTGGTCTCTAGGGCTATAGAGTTGAACGAGCAGCTTGGCAGGATTTTAGCAAAGCATGCAGCTCTACTTTCAGATGGCCCTGCACCAACAGCTAATGTTCCTGCGCCTTCCAAGCAGCGCACTCCACCATTGAGCGATAATAATCACATGGATACTGCCACATGGGTAGCAAACCATAAATATAATAATACTAATGGGGCTAGGGGCACTTGGGCATCAAACCATAAAAGTCATGTTGGTCAACCCACATCACCACCAAATCATATCAATCGTACTGACCATGAAGATACAGATGAAGAAGAGGAGGCAGCGCAGCTTTCTCGTAGGTGTGTGCCTTCGGAATTTATCTTAATTTTCTATTCTCCTAGGTCTTGGGATCTGTGTTGTTGACCTTGGACTTTACTCAGGATTCGGAAAGGAAAAGCACTTGTGAGGCCTGAAGATGAAGAAAGTGCAGAAGAGAGGCCATTTGGAATGCAGGGTGCTTCCATGCCAACAGAAACTTTGCATCGGCCTCTTATCCGACCTCTAACTCTTGAGTCACCATCTCGTGAAATGCAGGCGCCACCTTCAGCTACTTTGATCCCACCCCCACCTGCAAAACATGTTGAGAGGGAAAAATTCTTCCAGGAGAAGAAGGGAGATGGCGCTTCTTTGTCAGGCCACATGAGAGGTCTTTCATTACACAGTCGCAATGCTAGTAATAGCTCGTACAATGGGAGCATAGGTTCTTGTGAATGATATAGTAGCCGACTTGAGTATATTTATGATTTATTATGCGGCTTTTAGTGTTTTGAGTATTGATATTAATCTGCTGTGGAAGCAAAGAGGGCTTTCAGTGTTGTAGTTCTGGGTTTGTGTGAGAGCGTCTGAAGATGTGGACATACAGGAATTCGCCTGGTTACTCACTACAGCCTGCTGGTGGCAACAATTTCTGTATACATGCTTGTGTCGGTGTCGGTATGTTTGTGTAACTAGTTATTGGGAATGGTCTTATTGGTCTATAGGTATCAGAATTTCTGTAGCAAAATGAGTTTGTGAGTGAGTCGTTTATCCTTATTCGACTTATGGGCATATGTATATCTATACCTGAGTGAATGTAGCAATCATTAATTTATTTATTAGCATACTTGATTACTTGTACATGTTTTATGGCACCCACACTAGGTGTTCAAGTTTTTTCTGTTGCTGAGCAAAAGAGAACATCTTAACTTGTAATCAGGGTTTGTGGTATTTTTGTGTAAATGTATTACTATCAAGAAAATTTTTTTCAGAAAAAATACACGATTATAATTTGTGAAAGCCAATTAGCTTAGTTTATGTCTCGAAACTAAAGAATACTAAGTCTCCTCACATATTCATCACTGTCCTAAATCTCCTAATCATAAAATTCCCCGAATTTAACACCAAAATTGTTCCTTACAAACTCATTGCGATCTCTCATAAATTTTACATCCTTACATTGTTGGTATGCTATCTCTATCCAATACCCTAGCTCTCATTTCCTTAACAACCAGCCACCTAAAAGATGAAGACGGTTCTTCGAGTTACCACCCATCCAAGCTTCTCGCTTTCCTAGACCATGATAAACACACTCAAGCTTATACCTATCCTTTGCTATTTTAGTGCAAAATCAAATGAAATTCTTGTAAACACATCTAACTGTCTTGAGCCTAGATCCTCAAGTATTCTAAAAAAGTAAACCAAATCACTTATTACAACCGGTTGAATAGTACAACCAAGACTATTTTTTCGTTCATTTGGAACTCCTAAAGTGTCGTGTGGACTAGTAAAGTGCAAATGTTGGTTGCACTTTACACTCGGTTAGTTGTACAATTGCATTTACAAAAGTGTCGTATGGACTCGTATCATCACGTGCACCTAGCATCACATGTCATGTAAACTGCATGGAACCGATGATTGGATAAAAGAGCAATGCCGCGTTAATGATGGAATCTCTGTCTTGCTTAGAACTGCAGCCTAGCAAGAGCACAGTGTTGTAGTGGTTTTGAAGCAAAGGTGCAAATTTTTTCATAATATAAGTGAACGAAATAGCTAAAAGATTATAGAGAAATGAGGTAATAATATTCTTATAGGCTGTGAAGAATCCTATTAATCATGAAGAAAAGTCTAATTGGAAAGAGGTTATGACAAGTGGGGGTTTAATTAGTTAAAAAAATAGTTAAAGGATTATAGAGACATGGGGTAATAATACTCATTTTCTATATTGATTTGTAGTTAATATAATACAGTAGAATTTTTTTTACCAGGCTGCTAGGAAACTCATCATTTGACTTTAAAATCATAAGTTGGAACTCCACCAACTACAATTGCTTAGAAGTGCCAATTGGTTGCTGGTGTAGTGGTGATTGTGACTACACTTGATAAGGAGGACCGCGTGTTCAATTCCCGTAACAACAATCTCACCTTAAAAAAAAAAATGTTAGTAGTATATTTTCCTTTCATAGTTGCATCATAACAACAATGTATATTTTTCTTATTGAAAAGATTCAAATTTAAAATATCTACTATTAGTCCCCATGTTTCCAATTGTTTTCTCCATTAATTTTTTTCCCAATTTCCAAAATAACATGTTTACCTATTAATGTCTTTAATTGTGTATTTGTATAAAGAATAAAAAGTTAATATTTTGAAAGTAAATATTTGACCAAATCTAGGGATGGCAATGAGGTGGTTCGGATGCGGATGATGGTACCTCCATATCCATATCAGCCTAAAAATCTTTTACCCATCCCCGCCCCACCACCCATGGCGAGCACTATATCCACATCCATACCCGCCCCGCTGGGTACAAGATAAGATCCCCCACCACCCACTTGGATATTCATATCCACCCATACCCGCCCTAAAATCTTCCCAAACTCACTGCCATAATGTTGAATTGTATTACATTAATGACAACTACATCAAATTATGTTAAAAATTTTGGGTTTCTTACGGTTTGGGCGGATTGGGCCTTAAGGGGTATCAAGTTGTCATAAATTCTAAACTCGTCTTAAGGAAATATCGCATATTCTTAGGTGCACACTCATGCACCTAAAAATAGGTGTAATAACAGCACAATATGAACATTAGCTTTTTAGAAAGTGAACATTAGCTTTCTTCTCCTCTACTTTTCTCCTTCGTTTTTTTATTTTCTCTCTCCTCTGTTTTTTAAATTCCCCCTTTTTTTACACTTTTTTGATTGACTTTGTTTCTTAAAACATGAAAGTCGTTATTAAGTATGAATTTTTGTGTGGATTTCGATTTGTGCTTTAATTTCGATTGATTAAGGTTTATATGAATCTTTGAATTCACAAATTATACTCTGCTTTTTATCTTTCCTTCTTTAATTCCTTTTGCCTATGTTTTTTCCCTATTTTTCTCGTTTTTTCGATTTAACGATTGAATCTGTTTCTTACAATATGGAACTGGTTGTTTATCTGACTTTTTGAATTCATATGAATTGAAATTTTTTAGCTTCGATCAATTTCATCTGATTTTCTGCAAATTTTTTTATCAATGAACATAATCATGCAAAATATAAACATATGCATAGGTTCCCTTAAATGTGAACATTAGCTTTTCAAAAAGTGAACATAGGCATAAAACATATGAACAAACGCATTTCAGAAAGTAAACATAACAATTCAAAATATGAACATAAGCATTGGTTTCCTTAAAGTGAATATAACCATTTAAAAGATGAACATATGCGTAAAAAATATGAACATATGTATTTAAGAAAGAGAACATATGCATAAACAAACTTAATGAGAATATTTATGATCAACAAATATTTACTATGGATATTTAATTATGAACATATAAAATATTGTTATGAATATAAGGCATGTAATTATGAACATAAAAAATTGAAGAAATAAAAAATAATATGATTATGAAACATATGCATCATAAGTATTAAAAATATGAACAACATTGGTTCATTTTTTAATGCGTATGAACATAATTAAGCATTTCAAAAAGTGAACATATACATAAAAATTATGAACATATGGATTTAGAAAGTGAATATAAGCATTTCAGAAAGTTTACAAAAGGATTCAAAATATGAACATAAGAATTCAAAATATGAACATATGCATTTCGGAATGTCAACATAAGGTATCCGTTTGATTTCACTAATTTTTTTTGACAATTCCAATAAAAACTTCGAACAATATAGTATCGAACAATATTCAAACAAATTAAGTGATAATCAAATAAATTCAAACAAAATAAAGTTAAATTTACATAAAATTGCCTTTTTTAGGGAGAATCTTTTTTATTTTGCTTCTCTTTTCTAGTATCCATCGATGTTTTTGCAGTTTTTTAGTGAGAGAAAATGAAATAGAGGAGAGAGAAAGTGAAATAGAGGAGAGAGAAAATCATAAGAAGAAGAGCAATTTTTGAGTTTGTAAGTGACGTTACACTGGGTGTGGGTGGGTGTATTGTAGTTAACGTGTTTTTTAGTTAGTTTTAGGGCCTTTTTTTGACTTCTGAGCCACTGTTACACCTATCTAACTATCTAAGAGGGTGCACCTTGGACTAATTGAGGAAAATGAGGCAGGTATAAGGCGGGTACGGGTCCATACCCGCCCCATCACCCATGGCAAGTACACATTTTGTACCCATCCCTACCCTATCACCCGCCAAACCTCCCTCCATTCCCGCCCCACTAGGGCGAGGATGAGGCGGGTCTCCCATTTAACCCGACTCACTATCATCTCTAACGTCCAAATCTAACAAGATATCTCATAATGATGTTTTTTTTTCCTTAATACTTCCTCCATTTCTTTTCAGTTGACACATTTCTTTTGTCACGTTTGCCAATGCACTTATTCAATCTTTAATATCTTTAATTATCAATAAGCAAAAGTTATGAAAAGTTGATATTTTGAAAGTATATAACATGACGAATCTAACAAGATCTCATATGAATATATTTTTTATTACGTATAAAGCACAAAACACGGTCAAAGGGAGGTATGTGAATACTGCTAAAGTCAAAATGTGTCAACTAAATAAAAACGGAGGTAGTATATATTAAAGGGAATTCACTACAAAAAATGTCCATAATTCAATCCATTTCTAAATTAGAGACGGAGTTAAAAAAATCCGTATCTAAATTAATTTAGAAACAGAATTAAAAATCTGTTTTTAAATTAGAGACGGAGTTCAAAAGCCCGTCTCCAAATTTGAAACGGAATTGAAAATCTGTCTCTAAATTAGAAATAGATTTTTTTTCGTTGCAAAATTAGAGACTGATTTTTTTTTTTCCCTTTCTGTTGCTGATATGAGCGACGAATTTTTAATTATGTCTCTAAATTATTTTCGAAATGAATTATGTAAAATATTACTTTAGAGACGAATTATGTAAACTAAAGTTCGTCTCTAAACTAGAAACGGATTTTCAAACCCGTCTCTAAACTAAGACATTTTTTTTTTTTGAAAGAATAAACTAAGACAGATTTTAAATTTCGTCTTTAATATTTCTTTCACTTATTATCATTTATGTGCGTAGAAGTAAATAAATAATATTTGGTAAAGTTGGTAAGAATGATCGTTGCTGATATTAGTGACATATTTTTTTTTACCGTTGCTAAATTTAGGAACGATTGTTTTTTCCAAAGTAATCCATTGCTAAAACTAACTATCGAAATAAAATTGGTAGCAGCTAAGTTCAGCAACCGGAAAACGAATACAACATCGCTAGTCTCACTTAGCGACAACAGTTTTCCCAATGCAGTAATTTCATTTCAAAATCTATCGCTACCTATATCTAGCGACAGAAAAGTACATTTCAGCAACATATCTGTTGCTAAATGTCTATTTTTTTTAATTATTTTTTATAGTGATTCAATACGAATTTTGACTGCTAATAAGAAAATAGCAAAGAGACAAAAGAGTATGCACTTATTAAATCAAATGAATTGAGCCATACAATATTACAATAATGTATGGGTTACACATATAATGTTTGGCTTATCCTTTTTTTCATTTTGATGGACTATATAAGTATACAAAGAATGAAAGAATGGATTACTCAGGTAATATAACTACTAGCTCTCTATGCACTTGTTGCATGCTTAAATTTCAAAATTTCACCACTTATTGATCATCAATATAACAATAGTCTCAAATTTAATTTAGAAAGTCAACGTAATACATCTAAAATTATCAAGGTTAATTACTGAAATAAATAATTTTGTTAACTATCAAACATATATTCCCTCCGTTTTTAAGTACTTGCTCCATTTCTATTTTTTGCACTATTCATTTGTCCTACTTTGACCAATGTT